ATATTCCACAGTCACACCAGACATGCTCGCTCTTTCAGCCGTGGGGGCGTTATATTCAACAATCCCACTATTCGTTGGAAAAAGAGTATCTCAAGTGTTGGCGGTGGGTGATGATGACTAGCTGCCTTCCCTCTAGTCTTACACTGCTAAATTAGGGACGGCTACAGCAGATAGCCCTCGTGTTAGCTTTGGGCGAATTTCAACAAACAAACAAAAGTGTTTATTGGCAACATTTCTACGTAAGAGTTCTGTAAAACAGAAAAACTCTCGAACTCAGGTCTAACGAGAAGCTTCCCTGACTTCGTTATGGAAATGGTAAACCAGGACAAGTTGGTGAAAATACGCGAGTGATAAACTGTTCTTGTGTTAATTTTCCCTTTTGGTCGCTTCAACTACTTTAAAATAAAACATAGGTTCGAAATGAATGACTTCTAAATTATGACTTTTTAGACAGACAGGAGGAGGAACGGGATATAAACGAATGACTTCTAAATTATGACTTTTTAGACAGACAGGAGGAGGAACGGGATAGCTAGTTAGATATTCGTGACTGTTGTAACTATCGTAAAACTAGATAGGTTAAATGTTGTAAGAAGTAACATCATTATAGTAAACTGAAGAGACACGTGGAACACTTAGGATTATCACGTGTCCATTTTAAGTTATTAAGCCTTTTAACATCAATACAATATAACATTTTACCACATTACGTGATTGGCTTGTGTAGTTTGTTAGGTGAGTGCATAATAACGTGAATCTTAAATGTTTATACAAGTAACGTTTTCGTTCATTCGTGAAGTTGTGTTAGGACAATTTAGGTATTAACGAATGAACAATTAATACCTAAATTATCATAACACAAGTACACCAATGAATGAACAATTAATACCAAAATTATCATAACACAACTACACCAATGAATGAACAATTCGTGTAGTTGTGTTATGATAATTTAGGTATTAATTGTTCATTCATTCGTGTAGTTGTGTTATGATAATTTAGGTATTAATTGTTCATTCATTGGTGTAGTTGTGTTATGATAATTTAGGTATTAATTGTTCATTCATTCGTGTAGTTGTTTTAGGACAACTTAGGTATTCATTGTTTATTCGTACGTGTAGTTGTGTTATTCATTTTACCATCTCATTCTTCTTGTCTCCCTGGTGGATCAGCAGTAAGTTACAACTCTTTTCGCTGAAGTAATCTTGGTAAACAAAACAAAGAATAGTGATAAGTAATAAAAATCAATCATTGTTAAAAGCTTCGCCTATGAAGGCTGATGCACAAAAGTCCTCCATCAGGGGGCCATGGTATCGTATTAGAAGTCTCCAATAGAAATTCAAGTAGGTAAATCAAGCTTCTAAATTAGCCACGCTACCAAAATTCCAGATAAAACGCGTTTTCTTAGACATTTTTAAAGTAAAAAAAATAATGATAACAACTTGGTGTAAAACACTGATAGTTCGTTGTTATTTAATATACTTACGTCGTGACCGGCCGTACAAGGAATCTGTGGTGGGCCTCTCAGCTTCTGGATATCCTAAGAGACGACAGACGATGTCTGCTTCTCTCTTGTCCCATTCGTCGTCGCAGATGGATCCCCACTGACCAAAGTGGTAAATTTCTACGTTCCCCTGGTACGCTGTATGTCCTCCCACCAGGCGAATGTCCCCCTCTGATACAACACGAGCGTTTCGGTGAGGTGCGGATCTGCGAAGTCTGGTCCAGTGGCCGTAACTGGAAGCAGATGACCGAGGCCATTTTTTACTGTCTGATACGGACATCAGGACAGTGAACACCGTTATTACAAAGACTGACCGAGCGACAAAGGTTGTGATTGGAAACTTAGTCATCATTGTCTCCGGTAATATTTTTAATTTATATTTAATAACGTCTTATGGGCTTGTCTGATAACCCGAGACCGAATGAGGATCAGCTGAACACCAACAATAGCAAGTGTTTTACTAATAGATATTTTGGCGGGAAGAAGTCGGATTTTTTGGTTTAACTAGACATCGCCTCCTTCATCTTCCGTATCGTACGTCAGCTGTACTGGTATTAAGCTATACAACGGCTAAGATGCAGTATTTTATTACGCTTTCTCGATGCCACTCCCTCCAGCCATTCCTAGAATCTCCGCCATCCAATGTTTGTCCGTCTGCTCGCAAAAGCGCAGTGACGTTTCTCTGAAGGACGAGTGGGGAAAGAGAAGACCGCAGAACATGACCAGCATTTTGAGAAGCTATATTCGATAATTCTTCTCAGCTGGCCGCCGATCTTTTGGTTCAGTTATGTAGGTCATCTGAGCTCAGAAAATCAGATCAAGGCTTAGTTTCATAAGTACACTGAATTTCTTCCGTCGGCAATATGGAGTAAGTATAAAACAAACAGACACACAAAAGGTAAAATTATGTAAATTATCTCGTGCACTACCTAAAATATGCACACATAACACATATGTTGAAGACATACTTTGTTGTTTATTGTTCAATTTCGCGCAAAGCTACACGAGGGCTATCTTCGCGCGACATCCCTAATTGGGAAGTGATGGACTTAGAGGGAAGGCAACTAGTCAACAGTGCCCACCGCCAACTCGTGCACTACTTTAATCGAACAGTGGGATTTGTCCGTTATTCTTATAACGCACGCACGACCTCCAAAGATCGTAGCGTAATTTTTAAATATATATATATATATATTTGGAGGTAACAGGGTGCTAATCCCAGATCCACAGTCTGGCACGTTAACCATTGGGACGCATTTGGGGTTTGATCCCAGAGATGGATACAGCACAAGTAGCTCATTGTTTACACCATGTACGTAAAAGGTATGGTGATCACACTTTCACTATTTTTAAGTATGAATAACATATGAACGGATAACTATTTGAAGTATCTCAACACTAAACATACTGATATTAAGTTCACGGTTAACATCAACAAGGCCATCAATTCCATTCTTGACAGCTAAGTTCCTAATAAAAATGTTAAATTTGAATGTGAACTATTTCGTAAGAAATCCTTCGCAGGTTTGAATATAAATATTGATAGTTTTATAGTTTAACTAGCTGGAGTACCCGTCCTCCGGACGGAAGTTATGTAACTTCATGATTAATGAAATGTTATCTTAGGACATCAAAAGTTGCATAAAAAACGCAAAACTGAAAATGTGTATGTATCTCCCCATGTACTCAATGAACCTACATACCAAATTTGACGAAGATCCATCCACAGGAGATCAGGTAATGGTAAAAAACGCCCATAAAAACCGCAAAACTGAAAATGTGTATGTATCTCCCCATGTACTCAATGAACCTACATACCAAATTTGACGAAGATCCATCCACAGGAGATCAGGTAATGGTAAAAAACGCCCATAAAAACCGCAAAACTGAAAATGTGTATGTATCTCCCCATGTACTCAATGAACCTACATACCAAATTTGACGAAGATCCATCCACAGGAGGTCAGGTAATGGTAAAAACCGCAAAATGCAAACTGAATCTTTGTAAGACTCTCCTCATAGACTCGTTAATTAAACCTCCATACCAAATTTGGTAAAGATCCATCCACAGGAGGTCAGGTAATGGTAAAATACGCAAAAAAGATATGTTTTGAAATTGAGAAAAATGTACAATTTTTTGTACATTTTAGTCCAAATATATCTTTGATTGTCGATCAGTCGTAAACTGCTCGCTTCTAATTGACAGGCATCCAAACTACTTAAATTATGTAATAAGTTGCTATGACATCAGTGCGTGACCGAGAGACAGTTACACACTGTATTGGATTTAAGAACTACTTTCTCGAGCGTACAAAGTGGCCAGTATATTAGATTGCTCTTCCAATAAATATTTATTGTATATCATATTATTTATGACTATTTAGGCCTAGCATATCCCTGTGGTTAGGACACTCGACTCGCGAGTTCGAATCCCCTCGCCGAATATGCTCGCTCTTTCAGCCTTGGGTGCCTTATAATGTGACGGTCAATCTCACATTTCGTTGGCAAAGAGTGACTCGTGCGTTGGCGGTGGGTAGTGTTGACTAGCTGCCTTCCTTCTTGTCTATCAGGTAAGAATTAAAGACGGCTAGCGTAGATAGCCTTGCAGAAATTCAACAAAATAAACAAACTATTTAAATGGCATGGACATTCTTCAACATCTCCGGTGGAGTGTTAATAAACAGAAACGTGATTTATTATTAACATAAACAGACAAACAAGCAATTTTAATTAGTTGTGCCCTTGAGCTTATCCATAATCTGAAATAATTAGTTGTGCCCTCGAGCTTAATCACAATCTTTATTATGACACTCCTTTAATCATGAATGCAATAATCTGTATTCAGGTTTAAGGATTTTTAGGCTTAAAGATCGAATACCTATGTCCCATGCTCAAATGTCACCTGTGAATATAAAGTCTTAACTTTACAGTTATTTTGGATCTGCTATGACTTGGATGCCTTCAATTTCGCTTACAAGAACACGTAAATAAGAAATCAACATAAATTTCCACCATTAAGAACCATGCGATAAACGAGTCTAATAATTGTATTAGAGCAAAACAACACAATAGGCTCTCTGCCCTCTGTTCATTATGGGGTACCGAACCCTGGATTTTAGCGTTGTAAGTCCGTAAACTTAAATAAGGAAAATGATGCAATTCACTTGTTATAAACTTCGCAAGGAATTATATTATTAAAGGTAACCTGACATTGTAGGATACCGCAATAGGACCTTGGACTCATGTCGTTGTCATCTTTTTGATTTATTCCTTTGTCCTGAACGACCCCCCCCCCCATGGCACGGCGGTATGTCTGCGGACTTACAAACGCTAGAAATTAAGTTTCGATACCCGTAGTTGGCAGAGCACAGATAGCCCATTGTGTACCTTTGTGCTTAACTTCAAACAAAGAAACTTGTATGGCGTAATTAAATCCTACTCTCTACCCTAGCGGAAACTGAAGTCCCACAACGAACTACAGATTCATCTTACTCTCTACTCCAGCGGCTAATTAAAGCCACATAACGAATTATCAGTGAAAATATACCTGTAGTATAAAGATGTTGTTCTAATTTGAACACTTGAGTCATTTGTATTTCGTTTCTTTGTGTGTTCAGAATTTTCGCGCACAGACATCATTCATTTTTAACTAATAGATTAGAGAGGAAACCAGACAGTCAATAGCAACTCTTGATTTGATTTGACTGTCATTCTTATAGCAAATCCACGGTCAAAAATATTTTGCTATAACGGGATACGAACCATGCATGGACCTTTAAATTCACCCTAGAGCTCAGGAGTCCATTCTGTTCCAAGTCGCATTTGGCACATTCGTAAGTTGTACAAAATTAACAATTTTAGGAACCAGTTGAAATTCTTAAAAGACCTAACTTAATATTTGAGACCTCTGAGATTCAACATTGAGAGACCTTCCCAACCACCACAAAAACAAACAAAAAACTGCCTTAATATTTCACGAAAATGTCTGAAAGCTGCTTTTATTCTATTTATCAAAATTTAGTAATTTTACTTAAGTAACATTAATGGAGTTTGGCTGGGTGGAGACTAAAATATTCTTGCCCCAGGGTCTTCTTAGGCTTACGTACACTACTGAAGAAATACTCATATAAAAATCATTCTGATTGTAGTAGTCATGACGTCACTAAAAACATTGGGTTCTTG